ATCTGAGCTCCAAAAGAAAAGGAATAAAATCCTATGACCTAAATCTTGCCTCCCTGGATTCATGACCACTGATGACATTCTATCTTAATAAAATCCTAAAGGCCAAGGACTATATCTCTCTGTTATTTACTGGTGTCTCTCTAGTACCTAGAACCACGGCCTCAAATGTAGATCTCAATCAATCTTCCAATGACTGAATACTGCCTAGTGTCCTTTTTTTTTTTTTTTTTTTTTTGAGACAGGGTCTCACTCTGTAGCCCAGGCTAAAGTGCAGTGGCGCCATCATGGCTCACTACAGCCTTGATCTTCTGGGCTCAACTGATCCTGAGTAGCTGGGACCACAGATGTGTACCACCACAGCCAGTTAATTTTTTTTTTTTTGGTATGTTTTGTAGAGACAGGGATTTCATCATGTTGCCCAGGCTGGTCTTGAACTCCTGGGCTCAAGCAATCAGCCCACCTTAGCCTCCCAAAGTGCTAGGATTATAGGCATGAGCCACCATGCCTGGCCAGGTTTTTGCTGTAACTACCAAGAGTTTGTAACCTTGTCCAGTTCCTGACCCTCAGCATGTTCACATTCCTTGATCCTCAGCTCATCCCAAGCTGGGATTACAGCTTGATTCTTGTGTGATGACTTCTGCCCTGAAGTCATCCATGCCCTACAGAGACACCTAGTCTGGTCAAGGGTGTTAGAAAAGTTTAACTGGGGCCTGCTGCTAAAAGCATACAGTTGTTCTAGATGAGCTTGGATGTCAAGCCTTTCCTGTCTTTTCCCTCTCTTCCTCTTTTCCATAATAGCCTCCCTGGAGATCTTTCTTCCCATTTTCCCACTAAAAAAATCTAAAATAGTCAGGCACGGTGGTTCATGCCTGTAACCCTAATACTTTGGGGTGCCAAGACAGGAGAATCGCTTGAGCCCAGGAGTTCGAGACCAGCCTTGCCAACATAGTGAAACCCTGTCTCTACAAAAATTACAAAAAATTAGCTGGCCATGATGGGACGCTCCTGTAGTCTGATGGGATGCGCCTGTAGTCCCAGCTACCAGGAGGCTGAGGTGGGAGGATGACCTGAGCCCAGGAAGTCAAAGCTGCAATGAACTGTGATCATGCCACTGCGCTCCAGCCTGGGTAAGAGAGTAAGGCTCTGTCTCAAAAAAAAAAAAAAAAAAAAAAAAAAAATTAAATTAAATAAAAATAAATTTAAATTAAGTTGTTACTTACATATAGGTGGTCCTTGTTTTTTTCTTGAAGGCCATGATTCAATGGCCCAAAACTCATACAAGTCCCTCTAAGCCTTCTTTAAAGGTTCCATGTTTTGAACTCTTTCTAGTCAGATAAAATTCTTTAGAAGCCAATGAATTGATATTTTCTAACAAACATGAATGTAAAGTCTAATCCAAGGCTACAATAACAAATGACTTGAAAAATCCCTGATTATTAAAGAAACAATGTGTTTGCAGAAAATAGTATTAAAGCACTTAGTTCACTAAATGTTAGCCGAAAATAATTTTCCGCATCCCCTTATTACTCTCTAAGCCCAAACCACCCTTCTCGAATGAATGTTACAACTGTAAATTTATGAAATTCTCCCAATTTTCAACAATATATCTTTATCATTACTAAAATTCTACTGCAGGAAGACTAGAAACTGGCTCTATTTAGCACAATATCTGGCAATATTTGAAGAAATGAATCTATTTGAAAAAAAAAAAAGCTGGCTGGGCACGGTGGCTCACGCCTGTAATCCCAGAGGATCACAAGGCCAGGAGATTGAGACCATCCTGGCTAACACGGTGAAACCCCATCTATACTAAAAATACAAAAAATTAGCCAGGTGTGGTGGCAGGCACCTGTAGTCCCAGCTACTCGGGAGGCTGAGGTGGGAGAATCGCTTGAACCCGGGAGGTGGAGGTTTCAGTGGGCTGAGATCGCTCCACTGCACTCCAGCCTGGGCGACAGAGCGAGACTCTGTCTCAAAAAAAAAAAAAAAAAGAAAGAAAGGAAAAAAAAGCTGACTGACACAGTGTAAGCACTATAAACTATAAACACAAACTGTTGGTTCAACATTAATAGAATACTTATAAAGATGAGATTGCCCCAAAATTCAGGCTCTTGGTTACACGGATTATTAGAGAGAAGGATAACCATACGCAATGCCTGCTTTATCTCATAGCAAGTTTTTCCTTTACATTATTCTAACAGAACCACCCTTTTGCTTACATGCCTTGAGTATTTATGAGTCAGCTAGTGACTAAATTAACTTAAACTGAGCAAGATGCAATGTGAAATTTTAACTCAAGTGACAAAATCAAATTTTTTAAAATACTGAAATCCCAATTTTACAGCAAAATTTCTAGCAAATATAGTATGTGATGCAGTGTTGTGTCTCCACAGAGAAAATTTTTTTTTTTCCTCCTCTAGGATTAGGAAAAAGAAGTGATCAAAGAGACTGAAAAAGAACAGGCAAAATATCCAAATATCTGAGTTCTAAGATTCTTATTCTCTCTCTAAACAACAAATACAGGGCCCTGCCTATTTCACACCTAAAGAGGATACCTTACCCATTTAATTTTTAAAGGACTCAGGCTGGGTTCCACTTATTTGCAGTTTTTTTTAACATAACGTACATGGGTCATTCATTCAAGAAATATTAAAGGAACACCAACTAAGTTGCAAGGAATTGCACTGAAGACAAAAACAAGACAGAATTAGACCTTGAAATCCTTGAAGTTTAATAGAAGGGATATCACCTTATTTATTCTAGGTTAGTTTTTTTCCTTTGCTTAGTAAGAGGAGACAAACATAGAATATTATTAAACACAGACTAAAAAATCAGCAGCAATGTTGGAAGCCTGAAAATGTTTTCAAAATACCTATCTGTGAAATTTACTTCCTAAAACAAAAAGATCACGAAACTCAATCATGCATCTTCCTGAAGGCATTTCAGTAAAGCAAATGTATGTGACTTCAAAAGTGGCAATACACTGGTAAGCAATTTTCAGAATGTTCATGTCTGGGATATGAAAGAAACCACATGCTAACTTACAGTCAGCCACTGATTATTACGAATAGGCACAACAAATGAATGATCCATGACCAATTACATCATGGCATACATTTTTCTTACCTTTATAATCATCATATGATAAATACTTAAGCACAAGACAGTTACCACTATTTTTTAAAAATACCAAAAAGAAACTTGTTCAGGAAAAAAGTACATATAAAGTTCACTCTATTTGTACAGTAAACTTTCAGTTTACCCTAAACAAAACAAACAAATCAGTGAGTATAATTATTAAAATGTAATTTAAAAGTCATATTCAAGCTTATCGATAAACACCACAAGCAAAATCTACTATCATGTTATCAACACTGACCATATTTATGTGATAATACTATCTTTTTTAAACAGTCAAGTGGCTAAAAAAATCCAAACTACTGTCAACAGAAATTCAACAATGTTGTTAATAGAGTTAATTCAACAAGATTTTCTAATCCTCAAAATTTGTCAGCATCTTGATACCAGTTTAAAATGAGGTGGAGAATCCCTTGTGGACTACATGGCATGCCTAGTACTGAACCTATAAAAATGTAAACGCTTCTTGAATAACTAATGCTATAAAGCAGCTTTATACAGCTTTTCATAGTCTAGGAATGTTGGAAAGTTGATCAGCACTGCCTGTTTTTGGTGGTTTTTTTTTTTTTTAAGGTATTTACAGGCCACAAGTTGTTAATGTTAATACAAAACAGAGTTTTGCTCCTATTTCTCGGTATAAGAACAAAAACTGGACGGGCGCAGGGGCTCACGCCTGTAATCCCAACACTTTGGGAGGCCTAGGCAAGCGGATCACAAGGTCAGGAAATCGAGACCAGCCTGGCCAAGATGGTGAAACCCCATCTCTACTAAAATACAAAAAGTTTGCCAGGCGTGGTGGAGCGCGCCTGTAGTCCCAGCTACTTGGGAGGCTGAGGCAGGAGAATCCCTTGAACCCGGGAGGCGGAGCTTGCAGTGAGCCGAGGTCGCGCCACTGCACTCCAGCCTGGCGACAGACCAAGACTCTGTCTCAAAAAAAAAAAAAAAAAAAGAACAAAAACCAGCTCCTTTGGAAAAGAAAGCAGGGCTTTATATTGAGACATTTAAGCCCGTAAAAATATTTCAAGAATCTGTCTTAACATCTACTAAGGTGACTATCATTGTGACTACGTGACAAAGATCTACTGCACCCATTCTAAAACATCGGGGATGTTTTCAGCAATAACTAAACGTCTAATTTCAAAGAGGAAGCCGTAAATTAGTGCTTTCAAGAGAAAAGAGCATCACTGTGCTGTTGGAAGTTAGTAACTAATATAAAAGCGACCCTTCGCGGTTATAGCAGGAAACTATTTTTGATTAAATAAGAGCTTGAGATTATCCACCATAAGGCACTTCAGGATCTACGTCTGTCTCTAACTTTGTCATCACATTTACATGAAACTAATGTTTCGAGGGAAAACTTTTCTAAAAGGTACCAACTCTAAACCAAAAGGCCCACAGGCCTTCCAGAGGACGCCACGCTCTAGAATAAATAAGAAATAACATCCCCAACAATATCACTCTAACCTAACAAATTTTAAGGAGAGTTGCCTCCCAATGTCATGGCCATCGGGGTTTTTACCTGTGAGGGTTTCGGGGTGGGGGGCGTGAACCGGTTCCGGAGAGAACCAGTTAAAAAAGCGAAGGACTAAACACTCTCGGCTGGTGACTTCGCTAACGACACAGACCAAAAGACGGGATCGACAAGAGCCCCCGAAAAGTCCCCCGCCGGACAGGATTCCTCAGGTAGGGGGACTGTCACCTAAGCCAAGTTGTCGGGGACAACAGCAAGGACCTAAGACCTCAGGTAGGCAGGCTCACGGAGGGTTGCGCTGCGGGTTCTCGCTGCGGGCCTCCCGAGTCCCTCACCCACCCGGCCCTGGAAAATCCGGGGTCCCCAGAGCACCGCCAGAGTGAAAACTCACCTGCGGCGGCCCAAGCTCCTCGGGAAACCGCCCAACGCCAGGCACAGAGTATTGGCCGAGTGGAGGTCCCGGCAGCAAGGAAGGAGGGCCTGACCCAGTCCAGCCCACCTTGCTCTCCGCTCACGGCCCCAGTACTGCCCAGTTCAATCGTCACCACCACCTGCCGGCGCGGCTTCTGCTCGCCGAGAATTTGAAGACAAACCCTCCAGGGTCACTTCCGGTGCCGGGGACGACCTCAGCGACTCCGGCGCACGCGGGGCAACACCCCGGGAGCGAGGACGCTGGGCTGCAGCGGCGGAAGAGGGTGTGGCCGGGCTCGGGGGCGCGCGTGCGCAGTCTGGCGCCTCCTCCCGGCGGACGCGGCGGCGGCGACCACGGATAGTATAGACCTTGGTATAGATGGTATTATAGTACTACATCGCGCGCCTCTGTACCTTGTTCAGGTGCTTGCCCACTTTCCCTCCCATTTGATTTTCACCACACTCACACACACACCGAGGTCAGGTGTCTATTTTAGAGGTGAATGTCCAGGATCAAGCAATTCGTTTATGACAAATCCTGTTTTAGAACCTAGTATTCAGAATTCCCCAGCTGGGCTCCGTGTCATGACATAACAATAGGGAGGGGGTAAACAAAGATTCTCGGACACACTGCTAGTGGGATTTTATTGATTTTTTTTTTTTTTTTTGGTCACCGTTTTAATACGATGAAACAAGGAAAATGATGCTATTTCATGATTTACACGTATGTACTCCACAGGGCTTCCTCCAGTCTCAATCATCCTCTGCCATCACTTGAGGCAGAATAGGGCACTTATCACACATTCCTTTAAAAATGCAAGGTAAGTAAGTTTCAAACATTAAAACATCCCAACTGGGCACAATGGCTCATCCCTGTAATCCCAGCACTTTGGGAGGCTGAGGCGGGAGGATACCTTGAGCCAGGAGTTCAAGACCAGCCTGAGCAACATAGTGAGACCCCTGTCTCTACAAAAAGTACAAAAATTGTCTGAACATGGTGGCACACGCCTGTAGTCCCAACCACTCAGGAGACTGACACAAGAGGATCACTTGAGCCCAGGAGTTGGAGGCTGCAGTGGGCCATGATGGCACCATTGCACTCCAGTCTGGGAGACAAAGTGAGGCCCTATCTCTAAAAAGAATAAAAGCACCCCAGTCATCTAACATAGACATGTAAAAGCAATTCAGAGGAAATACATCCATTCAGTCAACAAATGTTTACTTAGCAACTACTATGTGTGAGACAGTGTTGGCACTGGATATACAGTGGTCACAAAATAGAATGTTTCATGGGGCTTAAAGTCTTGTAACATTCTCAACTGAGTAGAGAATAATAGTTTCACTGTAGTAAATATGAACTCTATTGTAATAGGGAACAGGAAACTATATTTAGTATATATTTTTGGAATCAAAACCAATTCAGGGAGGTACAGATTAATTACCCTAATTCAACCTTCATCTTTTATATGAGTTCAAAGGTATGGTTTGAATTTATAAAGCCAATTTACAGTTTAAAAACTTCTCAAAGGCCACAATATTAATACACATTGTATGATTCCATTTATACGAAATTCTAGGCCAGGCACGGTGACTCACACCTGTAATCCCAGCACTTTGGGAGGCCGAGACAGGAGGGTCACTTGAGGTCAGGCGTTTGAGACCAGCCTGGCCAACATAGTGAAGCCCCATCTCTACTAAAAATACAAATATTAGCTGGGCCTGGTGGCGCACACCTGTAATCCCAGCTACTTGGGTGGCTGAGGCACTCCAGCCTGGGTGACAGAGCAAGACTGTCTCAAAAAAAAAATTCCACAACAGGCAAAACTAATCTATAGTAATAGCTGATCAGTAGTTGGCTGCCTGAGGCTCTATTCAGGAGGTGGGGGAGAAGAACTAGATTGTTGAAAGACCCCAGGAAATGTTTAAGGTGATGGAAAGGAAATGTTCTGTTAGGGTAGTGCTTACAGAGGTGTATACATTTATTAAAATTCATCAACAGTACACAAACTGGGCACATTTTATTACATGTACATACGTGTATTATATATGAAGGTTTTTTTGTTTTTTGTTTTTGTTGTTGTTGTTGTTGTTTTGAAACAGAGTCTAGCTCTGTCGCCCAGGCTGGAGTGTAATGGCGCAATCTCGGCTCACTGCAACCTCCACCTCCCAGGTTCAAGCCTCACCCTCCCGAGTAGCTGGGATTACAGGCACCTGCCACCATGCCCAGCTAATTTTTGTATTTTTAGTAGAAACGGGGTTTCACTGTGTTGGCCAGGCTGGTCTCAAACTCCTGACCTCATGATCCACCTGCCTCGGCCTCCCAAAGTGCTGGGATTACAAGTATGAGCCACCGCTCCCGGCTGAAGATTTTTTTTAGGTGGAAAGACAAACCTCCAGAGAGTGGCTTATATTCACTACTTCCATTTCTTCACTAGCTGTATTGTCAAGCAAGAGTGGGTTATGCTGTAGCAACCTCTAAGTTACAGAGGTTTCAACAACAGCATTTTTTTCCTTATCTACTCTTTATGTTCATAGCTTGAGTGGATGCAGGCAGTGGGACCCTTGGCAGTGAAAAAAAGGGAGATAAATTGCACAGCCTCTGCCTGGATGTGAAACTTGCCACTCTGCCTACATTTTTTTGGCCAGAGCAAGTCACTGGTCAAGCCTGACTTCAAAGAAATGCAGGTGTTCATCTCTGCATTGTGCCTGGAAGCGAAGCAGCAGAATATTTGTGTACCACTCTCATGACTAGGAGTCATTTCTTCTTCTACAGTGTGGCTTCTACAACTACCACCCTTCTAAAATGATTATGTCCAAACTGTGACTCAGAAAATCTGAGATTTTCCTGGTGAATGGTCAGATTAATTTGCCAGAATCATAGGACACACAAAACGAAGTTAGGGGAAAAGAGATAGAAGGATAAGTGCCAGCTAAAGAGTTTAAACTTTATTCAGTAGACAAAAAGGGATCCATTGAAAGGCTTCAAATGAAGACATAAATTATATAGCAAATAGGAGGATTAATTTGACAGCTAAACGTAGGAAGTTTTGGAGGGGAGACAGAATAGATTGGGGGACCGTTGCAAGAGGTACTGTGACCCCTGGAATTACACAGAAGGGGAATGGCCATAAAGACCTTCTTTACATTATATATTTGTTTCTCTTGCCCCAGTGAGTAAACTTAATGAAGTCAGATACTTTGTCCATATGAGTAGAGCAACGTCTGGCACATTGTGTTAATTAGATATTTGTAGAATAAATAAAATAAAATAATTTAAAAGAATTTGAGGGCTGGGTGTGGTGGCTCACGCCTGTAATCCCAGCACTTTGGGAAGCCGAGGCAGGCGGATCACCTGAGGTCAAGAGTTTGAAACCAGTGTGGCCAAAATGGCGAAACCCCATCTCTACTAAAAACACATAAATTAGTGGGCGTGATGGTGAGCGCCTGTAGTCCCAGCTACTCGGGAGGCTGAGGCAGGAGAATCACTTGAACCCGGAAGTAGAGGTTGCCGTGAGCAGAGATTGCACCACTGCACTCCAGCCTGGGCAACAGAGTGAGACTCCGTCTCAATAAATAAATAAATAAATAAATAAAAGAATTTGAGACACTTTTTACATTTCATGAGAGAAATTGGAAAGGACTTTCAGGACCAGTTTATTAACTTCACTCACCTGGTTGATACATCTGGCATTCTTCTATACTTCAAACATTTGAGCCATCTCCTGGGATACAGTATGCATAAGGCTAGAAAGTCTAACCATAAGTAAGATTTACTGAATTTTTAGATTATGTCACACCATAGCTGCAATTAACAGACTGGGCCAGATTCACCAGTGTTCTTTACTAACCTTATACGCATTCTTCCTAAACAATAGTTTCCATCGCTGATCTGCTAATACCAGGCTGTTGAATGCTACCAAGAAAATCACATCACTGTGAAGATTGATGCGCCATAGTTTCATATCTTTCTAACCCAGCTGAAACATTTTGCTGCCTGTCTCACTTCAGTTATGTCTCACACTTCCCATTAGTTGAGACTTTTATTTTTTGAAACAGGGTCTTGCTCTGTCCCCCGGGCTGGAGTACAGTGGTAGGATCTCAGCTCACTGCAGCGTTGACCCACTGGGCTCAAGCCATCCTCCTGTCTCAGCCTCCTGAGTAGCTAGAACTACGGGCACGTGCCACCAAGCCCAGATAATTTTTAAATTTTTTTGTAGAGACAAGGTCTCACCATGTTGCCCAGGCTGGTCTCGAACTCCTGGGTTCAAGGATCTTCCCGCTGCAGCCTCCCAAATGTGAGGCTGATGGGATTACAGATGTGAGCCAGTGCACCTGGCCTATTTCAGACCTTTACCCCAGAAAGGCAGCTACCCAGCCCTGTCTGCCCTTTCAGTGAATTACTATGCCTCCAACCTCAAAGAAATAGAAGCTATCAGAAATTCTCTCAATTTGGGCCAGGCACGGTCACTCGGGCCTGTAATCTCAGCACTTTGGGAGGCCAAGGTGGGTGGATCACCTGAGGTCAGGAGTTCGAGACCAGGCTGTCCAACATGGTGAAACCTCGTCTCTACTAAAAATACAAAAATTAGCTGGGCATGGTGGTGCGCGCCTGTAATCCCAGCTACTTGGGAGGCTGAGGCAGGAGAATTGCTTGAATTCAGGAGGCAGAGCTTTCAGTGAGCCAAGATCACACCACTGCACTCCAGCCTGGGCAACACAGCAAGACTCTGTCTCAAAAAATAATAAAAAAAAGAAGAAGAAAGAAAGAAATTCTCTCAGCTTGCTCACTGTGGCAGAGACTGGATGCCAAATACCCATTCTCGTAACAGAACCTGGTTTGATAAAATCAGACCACCTGGAATAAGGACTATTTCCCAGACACTCTTGCTGCTAGATGTGACCATGGACCTAACTTCTGGCAGTGAAAGTGTTGTGTAGAACTTTTAGGAAGGCTTCTTTAAAAGGAGAGGCCATAGAAATCTCCCTCCACCTGCCCCCCTCTCTTTTCACCAGGTTAGAACAAGGAAAAGAAGGCTGGGTGCAGTGGCTCATGTTTGTAATCCCAACACTTTGGGAGGCTGAGGTGGGTGGTTGCTTGAGCCCAGGAGTTTGAGACCAGCCTGGGCAATATGGTAAAACCTCATTTCTTTTTTTTTTTGGTTTTTTTTTTTTTTTTTTTTTTTGAGGCGGAGTCTGGCTCTCTTGCCCAGGCTGGAGTGCAGTGGCCGGATCTCAGCTCACTGCAAGCTCCGCCTCCCGGGTTCATGCCATTTTCCTGCCTCAGCCTCCCGAGTAGCTGGGACTACAGGCACCCGCCACTTCGCCCGGCTAGTTTTTTTTTTGTATTTTTTTTTTAGTAGAGACAGGGTTTCATTGTGTTAGCCAGGATGGTCTCGATCTCCTGACCTCGTGATCCGCCCGTCTCGGCCTCCCAAAGTGCTGGGATTACAGGCTTGAGCCACCGCGCCCGGCCGTAAAACCTCATTTCTACTAAAAACACAAAAATTAGCTGGACGTGGTGGCGGACACCTGTAATCCCAGCTACTCTGGAGGCTGAGGCACAAGAATTGCTTGAATCTGGGAGGCGGAGGTTGCAGTGAGCCATCGAGCCACTTCACTCCAGCCTGGGCAACAGAGCTAGACCCAGTATCAAAAAAAAAAAACAAAAAACAAAAAACAAACAAAAAAACACACCAAAAACACACACGCCCAAGGTGTAGAGAACATAAGCAGCCAACTACTAACCAGAGCAAATTTTAGGTTGACAAGGACAGCAATTGAACAGATGAAGTGTGGGATGACTTTGTGGAGCTGCCATACCAGAAGTGGACTGCCAGCTTCAGACATTATATGTCTAAGGTATGGATGTTTTGGGTTTTATGTGCAGCTGAGCTTAACCTAAATTAATACTCTTACCCTCCCACTTACAAACTTCTTTGCCTCACATCTGCCTTTTGGTTTTTGCCTCATGTCCCAATGAATGTGTATCTTCCTTTGTCTAAATCCAGTTCTTCCACTTGGACTTAAAGTTTTGAGTTGTTTTGTTTTTTAATTCCATTTTATGTTATATATTTGGATAGGCAATGCACATAATGCAAAATCAAATGATATAAAGGGCTATATAGTGAGAAGTATTTCTACGATTCTTGTCACCCTACAAATCCAGTTTACCATTCCCAGAGGCAATTGAGGATACCAAATTCAGGGCCGGGCGTCCCAGCACTTTGGTAGGCCCAGGCGGGTGGATCATCTAAGGTCAGGAGTTTGAGACCAGTCTGGCCAACATGGTGAAACCCCGTCTCTACTAAAAAACATAAAAATTAGCCAGGCATGGTGGTGGACACTTGTAATCCCAGATACTCGGGAGGCTGAGGCAGGAGAATCACTTGAACCCAGGAGGCAGAGGTTGCAGTGAGCCAAGATCATGCCATTGCACTCCAGCCTAGGCAACAAAGTGAGACTCTGTCTCAAAAACAAAAAACAAAAAACAAAAAATACCAAATTCACTCATTACCTTTTAGATGTATTATTTTAGTATACACTCAACTGGAAGAAATGGTGGCTGAACATAAAAAAGAATGAGTTAATGTCCTTTGTATGGACATGGATGAAGCTGGAAACCATCATTCTTAGTAAATTAACACAGGAACAGAAAACCAAACACCGCATGTTCTCACTCACAAGTGGGAGTTGAACAATGAGAACACAGGGGCACAGGGAGGGGAACATCACACACCAGGGCCTGTCGGGGAGTGGGGGCTAGAGGAGGGATAGCATTAGGAGAAATACCTAATGTAGATGACGAGTTGATGGGTGCAGCAAACCACCATGGTACATGTATACCCATGTAACAAACCTGCACATTCTGCACATATATCCCAGAACTTAAGTATAATTTTTTAAAAAAGGAAGAAAAAAAAATGGTAGCTTAAAAAAAATCTTGCATTAATGAAAACCATTGCTCCACAGATTCAAGAAGCTCAATGAACCCCAAGCACAAGAAAAATAAATAAAATGACACCAGACACATCATAATTAAATTGCTTAGTATTGGTGATAGAAAACCCTTAAAAGTGAATATTGGTTCAAATATCACAGACTCTCAAAACTCATACCAAATTTTAGAAGATTTTCTTGAGTAATCTTCCCTCCCTTCCCCTCTCCTCTCTCCTCACTTCTCCTCTCCTTTTGGAGTCTCTGTCTCCCAGGCTGGAGTGCAGTGGTGATCTCGGCTCACTGCAACCTCCACCTCCCAGATTCAAGCGATTCTCCTGCCTCAGCCTCCTGAGTAGCAGGGACTACAGGCATGCACCACCACACCTGCTAATTTTTGTATTTTTAGTAGACACGGGTTTCACCAACGTGGCCAGCCTGATCTCAAACTCCTGACCTCAAGTGATCTGCCTACCTCAGCCTCCCAAAGTGCTGGGATTACAGGCGTGAGCCACCGTGCCCAGCCTTCCCTACATATTTGATTCATGATTCAGCCAAAGATTTGGGCCTTTCTCAGGCAAGATGTCATAAAAATGGAATACTTATCTAGTGCCATTCCTCTCTTCCAAGGATCAGCTCCCTTCCAGAATTTGCCTGGTCTTGTTCCATTCCAATATCTTCAGGTAGTTGGGTTTTTGCCCCCGACTTTATAGTTGTTAGCTGTGATACAGTAAATCCATTAGGATCTGATTGGTTGTATTAGAAGCAGAATCTGGAATTATCTTTTAAGGTCATTTTGGTGACAGGTTGGATAATAAACTTAAGGTACCAGAATAAAGTAAAGACTCATGTTAGAAAATTATTACATTAATTCAGGCTGATGAGGACCTTAACCAAATTAGTTAACAACGAGAATAAAGATGATGAATTAGAGAAAAACCTAAGAAGTAAAATAACTGAATTTTATGGTTGAGTCCACAGGAGATGGTCAAAATACAAAATGACTTTGTTAAGTCATTCTGCAAATCAGATTATACACTGATACAAATTATATGCTGTATTACTTAAGGTATAGGCTCAGCAGCAGTAACAAATGGATATATATTATATAGATAGATATAACTTTTCTCCCCTCTCTCTCACATTCTGCAGTTGATCAGTTCAGACTGGAAAGACGACCCTGCTTCACACAATCTCTCAGGTAACCAGAATGTAATCATTTGGTTCATTCACCATCACTAGAGTATTTTTCTTTTCTTTTTTTTTTTTTTTTGAGACGGAGTCTCGCTGTGTTGCCCAGGATGGAGTGCAGTGGCTCAATCTTGGCTCATTGCAACCTCCACCTCCCAGGTTCAAGCGATTCTCCCGCCTCAGCCTCCTGAGTAGCTGGGACTACAGGCGTGCGCCACTACGCCCAGCTAATTTTTGTATTTTTAGTAGAGACGGGTTTCACCACATTGGTTGGCCAGCATGGTCTCGATCTCTTGACCTCGTGTTCCGCCCACCTCGGCCTCCCAAAGTGCTGGGATTACAGGAGTGACCCACTGTGTCCAGCCACTAGAGTGTTTTTCTAATGTTCATGGTCAATATAAAATCACCACTATGTACGTGTTCCATCCTGTGGGAAGAGGTAAAGAGCAAGTGGTGGGCAAACAATGTCAACTTTAATTATATGTATAATTTGCACATACCACATCTGCTAATGTCCCAATGACCAAAACCTAGTCATGTGCCCAAAACTAATTACAAAGGAATAGGAGAAACATGGACTCTACTGGGGTAGTCAAAACTTAGAAAGGGATATTGGCTCTATTAGTAAAAGGAAAAGTGGGAGAGTGGATACTGGGGAGCAAGAGTGGCCTCTGTCATTTGTCAACCCCTCTGTGAGCTAGGTATTCATAAGAATCTTTTTTTTCTCCTGCAGAACAAATTTAACCCTTCCTCAAGGGAAACAACCCAAAGTTCCATTCATAGCCTAAATCCAACAAAATGTTCGGAATCTCTGGGTAGCTCTGTTACTGAAAGAAAGGAGGAAAAACTGGACAATAACTGTTTGGCGACCTCCCTCTACTCTTCACATACACAAGCAGATGTGCATGTGTGCGTGTGTGTGTAGCAAAGTATAGTCACAATTTTAAGTATACCAAATGTGGGCCCACAATGTAGTACAATAAACCATAGGAATAATGCAATTTGTGTCATCTGTACAAGACTTATGTAGAATAAATACAAACTTACAAGGGAGTGCAAACAAGAGGATAAAAGAAGATATAATGATGGTAATGCTTAAAAAGAAGAGGAAAAACAGTACTTGTTTTTCATCCATATAAAGCTGATATAAGATACAATATCAACATATATATTTTGACACAGTGGTTCAGGTCTGTAATCCCAATACTTTGAGAGGCAGAGGCGGGAGGATCGCTTGTATCCAGCAGTTTGAGATCAGACTGGGCAACTTAGCGAGACCCCATCTCTATAAATATAAAAATAAAAAATTAGCCACGTATGGTGGCACACTCCTTTAGTCCCAGCTACTTGGGAGAAAAAGGCAGGAGGACAGCTTAAGCCCAGGTGTAAGTTAAAGTGAGCTTTAATCATGACACTGAACTCCAGCCTGGGTGACAGAGAAAGACCATCTCTAAGAAATAAAACAAACAAAAAGGATTATAAAGAAAAACAGATTAACCAACAATTTTACATTTTAAAAATTATATACCGTAATCAAATGGTACTAAATGTAAAATTTAATCATTAAATTCTAAACCTGTAATCTAATGGAGGCCCTTAACAGGAAATACTGTACTTATATTGGACAAAATGAAAACATTAAAATGAAAACATGACATTTACATGATATTCAGTTTGCCTTAACCTAAGTACTATCATTAGTTATTTTAATTCCAAAGCATCAAAATTTTAATCATAACTTTCTCAGAGAATAAAAATATTTAATGCGCCACTGCACTCCAGCCTGGGCGACAGAGCCAGATTCCATCTCAAAAAAAAAAAAAAGAAAAAAAAAAAAAAATTTACATAAATTTTTGAATTAAAAAACAACAAAGTTAAGCAGTGTAAAAATTAGCTTTCCACACATAATTGAAAGATTTGAATTTTTTTTATTATCCCAGCAAACATTACACTAGAGAAAATGATTGGGAAAATACAAATAAGTTCATTAAAAACACAGGCTGATTATTCGTATCTATTACATTCAGAATTATGCAAAACAATTAGTTATATTGCAAAGCTGTAATTCCTTTTCTAACAAAGCATGATTTTATAAAACTTTAGTGTTGCCACTGATTCAATTTTAATACAAAATACTTATATACACAATACAATATAAAAGTAAACTGTGTAGTGCCTTCCACAAAAGGATATATTAAGGCGCTTTACAAATATACCAATATTTTGACCCAAATTACTTTTTGCTTTAGATTAAAATGAACAGGCTAAATGTTCCACTTTAAATACCAAAGGGATTTCTGTTTATTAAATTTTTTGATCTAAAATACCTTGGGTAACAGCAGCAGCAATGTCTACAAATCCTCCCACTGTATTCTCTAATTTCTAACATATTAAGTCAGAATAAAACAATTCCACTCACAGTTTTGCACTTTGCAACAGCAGAAAGTAATAACTTTTTAAAAAAGTCAATCTCAAAGTGACTTTTTAGTCATACATTCTATAGTTTCTATTACAAATAAGAAGGTAGAAAAGATACAGCAGTAGGGCCTGCCTTATGATGTCACTGGACAATACATAACAGTATCTACAATTACATAATTATAGAACACATCTTATAAATACTATTGATATGCATAAAAAGGGTAAGTACAATAAAGACAGCAAGTTTTTATGAGAAAATTATTTTAAAAGAAAACATACAGAACCAACGTTTTCACTCCATTTCAATGGAAAGTATCTATATTTTTAACATTGTTTTTCTCATCTTTTTGGTCAGGAAGCACCAGATTCTATACTGGAAGAAGTAGATGTAGTTTTGGAATAAGACAGCTGATAAGTATATCCAAACTGTTAAAATTGCTGATACCAAAGGCATGTATACTGCTTCAGATAAATGCAAAAGGCTTATAGTATCAGAGGAAATTTTAAAAGAATACATATTTGCGCCAGGCGCGGTGGCTCACGTCTGTAATCCCAGCACTCTGGGAGGCTGAGGTGGGCATATAACTGGAGCCCAGGAGTTCCAGACCAACCTGGGCAACATGGCAAAACCCCATCTCTACTAAAGATACAAAAATTAGCTGGGCTTGGTGGCGCATGCCCAGCTACTTGGGAGGCTGAGGTGTGAGGACTGCGTGAGCCTCAAATGTCGAGGATGCAGTGAGCTGTGAAGCGCCACTGCACTCCAGCCTGGGTGACAGAGTGAGACCCTGTCTCAAAACAAAAAACAAAAAAAGAATACAAAATTTGTAGTGTCTGTTACATTTCAGCAATAGGGGGAATACAGATTTTGTGGGAAGGGAAGGGGGAGGAGACAGCACCTTAGATTTCCTACAACATAAATGTAACAAAGTTATTTTCTACTGTATTGCACCTTAGTCCAAAAGTAAAACAACTAAATGAAAATTTAAATAAATCAGATTGAAAAAGCCCAAAGAGCAAGAGGAATACCTTATAAATGTGAGTACTCACCTAAAAATTCTTGAACTACTTTGTTTTGCATAGGATTTTATGGGACTAACCAAATGTTCCATGAACCATGAGGTGAAGACTGCCATTTCATGAGAGCACATTTTCTTATAATTCCAATTAGAAATCCTTCAGAAATATTTCTGTATCAAGCTTGTAATGAGTCCAACATTTCAGTCCCCTCCAAATGATACATTTAAAACAAATTAATGTACCAGCAAGAGAGGCATTCATAAGGTCACCTTACATCACATGTTACAGACCTTTTCCATCACAAATTATCAGTTTATATAAGATGTGCTGAGTAGTGATTGGTAAGTTAAAAACAAAGTTCTTAGTTTAATATATCAATTTTCTCATGGGACAGAGGTCCATAACCTAGAGCCTGTGATAGGTTTCAATATGTCCAAAATCCCTTGAAACTGCATGCAACATTGTATGTGTTGATTTTTTTTTTTTTCCTGGGAAGAGTCCACAGCTTCCTTCAGATTCTCAAAAGAACCACTAACCCCGAAAGACCCATGATAACATAGTAGTAGGTTTCCAAGCTGAGTTCTGAAAGGACCACCTGTAGAAAGGTAGGAAGTGTGGGCTAGTAAGTGTTCTTTGCCCTGACTCTCCAATTCAACTGCAACAGCTCTGCCTTTAATTTTACTACATATATGGTTTCAATTAGCTTTTATGTGAAGAAAGCTAAAAGTATGAAAATCATTAAAATTATGCCTCCAATCCCCAAATAGTAACTTTTGACAAAAACAATCCCTTATCAATGGAGCTTAAGAAAAGGAAATAAAATACAAATTTTACTATGGTCAAAATAGAGCCTTTTTCCCCTTCCTAAAAGATAAGCTCATGTATTTTGGTATAGAACCTTAATCTTCCTTAGAACCTAAGCATTATACATAATAGTCATGTTGAACACATTATTTAACCTTAAATAAATTAGGAGGACTTGAATTTTCTACTAAGACCACTCTGTAAATTTTTCTAATTATTAATGGCCATCTTAAGAGTTAATTTTTTCACCAATTAATCTGCCCTTAGGTAAAATATTGCCAGATAGCCAGATTTTCCTTTGCCAATAACAATCTGTATATGCAGCACTGTTCTGAAAGAGGAAACAGGTAACATTGATAATATAATCAAAATAGTTACTATACAGGAAAAGTATATGAACATGAAAATAATTCTTTGCTTAGGATGGTGAAAAAAATTTTAGCTTTCAGTACTGAAAATTTTTATTTATGGCAGCTTTGTTCCCTTTTAAAATTGGAAGCAGCATCAAAAATAACAATATGGAAAAAAAGCTAGTAGTGCTTTGGCTTCTTTTAAAGCCAGTAATTCTTGAGAAATAAATGCAAGAAGATTAAATATTCCATGGGGGCGGGGAGATAAATGCATTATCTTTCCTTCTGACAAACATATTAATATTTTTTAACCCTGTATTCCTTAGTTTCAGGATGTGAATTATACAGATTAAGATTAGCCTAGGAACACTCACCAACACGATGGCTTAATTTCTCTAGCTTATTTTGTACCAAA